CCTTCTTCTTCTTCTTCTTCTTCTTCTTCTTCTTCTTCTTCTTCTTCTTCTTCTTCTTCTTCTTCTTCTTCTTCTTCTTCTTCTTCTTCTTCTTCTTCTTCTTCTTCTTCTTCTTCTTCTTCTTCTTCTTCTTCTTCTTCTTCTTCTTCTTCTTCTTCTTCTTCCTTCTTTCCCCCCAGAGCCTCAGATTGGAGCCTCCATAGGATCTGAGTCCTTGACTGGAGCCCCCTAACTCTGCCCCTCTGGGTCCCTTCCAGGCGCCTCCTCACACTCCCTGAAGTATTTCTACTCCTCCATCTCAGAGCCCAGTCAGGGGCTGCCCCATTTTGTCGCTATGGGATATGTGGACGGTCAGGTCTTTGCTCACTACGACAGCAACAGCCGGAAGATGCAGCCTCGAGTCTCCTGGATCGGGAAGGTAGGGATGGAGGACCCCCAATACTGGGACAGAAACACCCAGAGAGAACGTAGCAATGAGGAGACGTCCAGAGAAAACCTGGAGATTGCGAGGACTCGCTACAATCAGAGCGAAGGCGAGTGATGGGTCAGGTGGCTCCTCCTGCCCCATAATCCCCTCCCCAGGAACCAGAGGGGGGAGAAAGGGGGGTCCCTTCAAAGGAAAGGCTTCTTCCCCACATTTAAAAACGTTTTTAATATGTTTATTCTGTTTTTTTAAATCAGTATAAGCTTGTCGTTGCCTCCATAGCTGATGTTTTCTCCCAATTGCAGTTAATAAAAACATTTTTAAAGTTATCCCTCTATCTCCCTGTATACTGATAGGATGTGGATATGGATATAAACTGAGATAAAGAGAGACCGAAATCTCCCTTCCCCCCCATGAAAGTTGGAGGGTCCTGGCCTTGTTGAACCCCCTGCTGTGGGGGAGGGAGGGGATCCCAGGTCTCTCCCTTCCCGGAAAAGAAGCAGCTGGATCCTAAGGAGATCCTGGGGGAAGCAGGTCCCTGTTTTTCTGTCTGTTTCCACCCCAGAGAAATGAGGGATCAATTTCAGATCCATCTGGGCTGAGTAGATCCCTCTCTTTTACCTCTTTTTGGAGGGACGAGTGGAGGAACCCTTGAACTATTTTTCAGGCCTCGGGGAACCCCTGAACATCCAGGCTCAGAGATGGGGCAGAATTGTTTCCTGCGTAGACCTCTAGAGATGCATTAACAGCCTTCTTACACTAAGAATAAAAACTTGCCTTTTCAGTGTGATCCCTGTGCTTCTTTTTTCCAGCACAAATATTAAATTCTGTGCCAAACTTGCAATGAAGAAAAACAGATTACATCTTCAACTGAAATAAGACGGTTTCTGTCTTAGCTTTTGATGCTTCTGAAATAAGACAGAGCTGGTTCTCAGAAGTTGAAAACTGCAGCCAGATTTTCAGTGCCTTCCTGTGAATGGCAGGAGATTCTTCTTGGGCTGAAATCCAGAACCTTTTTTTCCCCTGGGCAGATCAGGGAATCTCCTCTGGAGGGCAGGATCAGACTGTACTTACTCAGACTGTACTTACACAGACTGTACTTACTCAGACTGTACTTACAAGTGGTTTTCCCTCAGATTTGAGAGTTTCTGGCATCGTTCCTCATTCTGAAGCCCAACCAGAAGTAGAAACATTTCAACTTTTCCTTTTGGTTTTTTTTTTCAAACATTCAGTTTTCTTTTAAATCCCAGAATCTGGTCACTTAAAGTCAAAATATTTTCTCCAGGACCTTGCATAGACTGTAAACTTCAAACTTCATTTCAAAGGTCAATAATCCTTTGGGGGGAGCAGATCAAATTGGGCCACTTGCTGCTGTTGCTAAGGAAAATATTCCTTTGTGGCCCTTCAAGGCTTCATTTCCACAGTGTACAAAGCCATGGTTTGTTTCTGGTTAGCCCAAAAAGGGAGCCAGCCTTGTGACTTGGTGATATTTGGGAAAATAGATCAAGATTTATGGTCACAGGGATCCTTGCAAGCTTCTTTGCAGATCAACCAGATTCTGTCTGAGGCCATGAGATTCTCAGTCCCTCTTTGGAGCTGCAGATTCAGGCAAATGTTCCCTCTCTGGGATCCCTTCCTTTCCCCCCCAAGAGTCTCCCCAACAGAGGAACTGCAGAAGGAAAGGGAGAGGCTCCGTCCCGCCGTTTCTTCTGCGACTCCTTCTTTTCTTGATCTCCCTCGGGATCCTCCGCTGGCTTTTCCAGCTTCCCTTTTCCTGGGGAGGTTCAGGGGCTCCATCCTGGGGGGGGGGAATGGAGGGAGGGAGGTCGAGGGAGGGGAGAAGGGCGGTTACTGATGGGGGCTTTCTTTCCCTTGATTGCTAGGGAGGAAATGGGGGCGTCATTGCCTGGGTGAAAATCCCTGCAGGGAAGGGGGTCTGTGTCTATCTTGAGGAATCCCCAAACCATCATCACCTTCCTATTACAGGCTTTCACACGTTGCAGGTGATGTGTGGCTGTGAGCTCCAGGCTGATGGGAGAAAAGGAGGATTTTGGC